CATAATCGGGGTGCCTTCCAATTCCATTTCTGCATCTTCGCAAAGGGCGTTCTTCATGAACTGAGTCTTCTTCCGATTTATTCGCAGTCCGATCTTCTTCCCTACTTCGTTTAGTTCCTTCAGCATCGTCTCTGCTTCGGTGATACTGCTCGAGAAGAGAACGATGTCGTCCGCAAAACGAAGGTTGGACAGGAATCTCCCATCAACTCGTATGCCTCTCTCGTCCCAGTCCAGTGACTTCATCACCCACTGCAAGGCCGCGGTGAACAGCTTCGGCGAGATTGTGTCGCCTTGTCGGACCCCCTTCCCGATTGGTATGGTCAGGGGGCGATGGAGCTGTATCGTCGTTGTACAGTCCTTGTAGCAGTCGGCTAACGTCCTCACGTAAGCTGGGTCCACTCCTTGATCGACTAGCGCAGACAGGATGGCGTTGGTTTCGACGCTGTCGAAGGCTTTCTCGTAGTCGACAAAGGTTAGGACGAGAGGCAGTCGGTACTCCCGGCAGACTTCTATGACCCTCGAAACGGTCTGGATGTGGTCCATGCAGCTGAATCCTTTGCGAAATCCAGCTTGTTCTTGGGGTTGGGCTTCATCCAGTGTCCTTGATATGCGAGCGAGGATAATCTTCGTGAAAAGCTTGTACAGCACACTCAGCAAGCATATTGGACGATAGTTCCGAAGATCCTCCCGTTCACCCTTCTTGAAGAGAAGGACGGTTCTTGACGTTCTCCACTGGTCGGGAATCTTCTCCTTCTGAAGGTAAGATGTCAAATGCGACGCTAGAATCTCGTGTAGACGGTGTCCTCCGGCTCGCAGAAGTTCGACGGAAAGATGATCTGGTCCTGGAGCCGTGGACGTCTTCATGGTCTGTATCGCGATACGCACTTCAGCAGGTAGAATTCGTGGTGGTACTTCTCCAGTGGGAACAACGGGCATCTGCACAGGTGTTGATGAGCGGAAGAGGTTGGTGTAGAAGTTCTTCGCGATAGATTCCATCTTGTATCGGGAAGAAGTCGGAGTCCCGTCTTCGTTCAGTAGTGCAGCCAGCGGTACGTGATATTCGCAGAGGTCCCTTCGGCACTTCTTGAGACTTCGTCTTCTTTCCGCTGCTTCCAGTATCTTGGCTTGCCTGTACTTCCTGAGATCCTCTTGCAAAGCTGTTCTGCAACTGGTGTTGGCAATCAGTCGCTCGAGATGAGTTGCATTCGGATCCTGCCTCAATGATCTTCTTCTTTCGAGCAATTCCTTGGTGGTCTTCGAGATGCGGTCCAAGTTCTTCTCAGAAGTCACTGAGGCGCATTCTCCGCAGGCTCGCAATCCTTTCAGAAGCCGGTCGTAGTCGTACGTTGGGTCCTCCTCGATGGGCCAGTCACAACTTGATATGAGCTCTTCCAGCCTGTTACCGTCATAAGCGACTTCCTTCCTTCTCGCGGCACTATGACAGACTTTCTTTTCCAGCCTTCGGCTGAGTCGTATCTTCGCTCGAAGGAGGCGGTGATCGGAGCCACTACAGAAGGATGGAACTCCAGAGACATCGAGTAAGCTCCACCTTCGGTTGGTGAGAATGTGGTCGATCTCCGCGTGGGTCGTTCCGTTGGGCGATTCCCATGTCCACCGGCGATGTTCCTTCTTCATAAAGATGGAATTTCCATGGAAAAGTCGTGCGGCGGAGAGAAGCCCAGCAAGACGGTTGCCGTTTTCGTTCCGGAGCCCATATCCAAACTTCCCGATCCTATATTCCCTTTCCAATGGCATCCCGATTTTCGCGTTGAAGTCGCCCACAACAAACTTGTAAAAGGACTTCTCGTTGCGGACGACCTCCTCCACATCTTCGTAGAAAGCATCTAGTTCTGATTCGTCAGCTGCTGATGTTGGAGAATAGCAGTTGATGATGCTGATGGTCTTCTGATGTGGAGGCCGTAGTCGTAGGATGCCTAGTCGAGGTGATAGGATCTCGTGCGAATCGACAAGATGGACGATAGATGGGTGGACGACAAAGCCGACGCCTCCCACGTTTCGTGATGGAACCTTTTCACCACGAATGATGAGGGTCCCATCACTCATCTGTCGCACGTCCTTCTTCCTGGACTTCGTTTCCTGCAGAGCAATGATGTGGTAGTTGATGTGCTCTGCAGCGTCGAGAAGAGCGTGGAGGTCGGCGTTTGTGGAGACTGTCCTGGCGTTGTAAGTGCAGAGCATGAGGCAGTCTCCATGGCGTGTCGTCCGGGCAGACGTGTCGTTTTTGTCCAATCCGAAAGGCGCCCTGAGTACCCTGACATCGTTCTTGCTACCACCCGGCGCCGTAGGCGGGATCCGATGTACAGGGTTTTTTCTAAATCTTCTTGCTGTCTGAGTAATAAAATTTGTTCCCCTACAAGAGGTGGCTTACTAGGCCTACTCTTGATTTCCACGGGGTGATCGCTGACCCCGGGCTTGGAGCGGGGAGGGACCGCCTAGCGACCAGAAGAAGCCAGACGGCGGAGAATCTGGCGCGGCCAGTTCTTAGCTAGGCATCCGGCCGAAACCGGAAACGTCGAACTCCTTCACAGCTTGGGAGGCCCTACCAGAGTATACACTCGGCTGTGCATCGCAGTTCGACACCCAGTGTCACCCCCACGCCACGATGAGGCGACCGACCATTGTGGGGGTATTTTCTATCTTTTGTATTAGGTGGGTGCAAAAGTTCGTTCGCCAATTTTTCAAAAAATCGTAATTTCCTTCCGACTCAGTGAATCTCTTTGATTTTATACTCATTTAAAAGAGAAAATTTTCCTCTTTACAGCAGCGTCTTTGCCATGAATTAGCATGAGAAAGTTGGAAAGTTAAAAGCAATTGAAGGATATTAGTCAAGATTGACTTTTTTCAAGCAGGGTCTCGAAAAATCCTGAAAGTATTTTTGTATGATAGAGGAAATTATGCTCTTTACTATAGTGCCTTTATCATGAATTAAAACGAAAAAGATCAAGAGTTAAAAGCAAATAAATAGAATTACTTCAGTTTTGCAATTTTTGAGCATGCTCAAAAAAGCCTAAAAACGTCACAGAAAGGGCGGAAAAGTCATGAACATGGGTTTTGTGACCTTCCCTTTCCAGCTAAGCAAAAATTGTGCCAATCGGGAGCAATTTTGATTTTCGTGATTTATTCGGATTTTCGGGCCTGCGTTTTTCACGAAAATGAGAATTGCTCCCAATTGGCACAATTTTTGCTCAGCTAAAAAGGGAAGGTCACACAACCCACGTTTATGACTTTTTCGCCTTTTTTATGACGTTTTGAAGCTTTTTTGAGCATGCTCAAAAATTGCAAAAGTGAAGAAATTCTATTTATTTGCTTCTAACTCTCGATCTACTTCGTTTCAATTCATGAGGAAGGGACCATTGTAATCTGCAAAATTTTCTCTATCAAACAAAAATACTTCCAGAATTTTTCGTGATCCAGCTTGAAAAATGTCGATCTTGACTAATTTTCTTCAATTGCTTTTAACTCTCGAACTTACCAATGCTAATTCATGTCAAAGGCACTACTATAAAGAAAAAGGTTTCCTCTTTCATATAAAAATGATTTTGAGAAAAATCCTTGAGAAGAAAGGAAGTTATGATTTTTTGAAAATCCGGCGAACGAACTTTTGCACCCACCTAATATTAATCTGCCAAGACTATTTTCAAATTAATTGTTACCATTTAGGTGATTATTATTATTTCCGTCTTTTAACTATATCTTCCTTGTCACCACACAGTCTGGCATACTGTGCTTCACTGATAGGCTGAAGAGGCAGAGTATTCTTGTCAATAAGTCATTCTACTTTTTCTACCATTCAACTTTTATTTTCCTTTTCTTAGTTTTTTGTTTCATTTTGATGCATATTCTTTTTGATTAGCGGTGTGAGCGGCAGCACTTCTATATTTTATTGGATGGCATCACCTAACTTCGTGATAAACCCGACATCATGTTACATCCATTTCTTCTTCCTGACACTGCTCATGCGGAAAGCGCCTTGTCACAAAATCCATATAAATCTCTTTCCTCCATAAGTGCGAGACTGGTGTTTTTTACGGTTGAACTCTGGCTCTTCTAGTAAACTTTCGATGGATAATTTCGACGCGCCGTACTAAGCGTTCTCCGCTCATCTCCGCCTCCCGTAGAGCATTCATATGCAGGTTGACATCTTTGTATATAGGGAGTAGGTGGGAAATCGCCTGAAAATTTCTCTATCATCTACTTTCTTGGTAGCTATTACTAATTTGAGATCCCTCACAAAAACAATTCTTTTGGACAGTACAAACGGTCCAGTGAGTTTTTGCTCTCGCACAGACTACCACCGTAAGGACTAGCCTGTGCGAGAGCTTCCTGAAACGCCGGCTGCAAAACTATTTGCTTTAACTTCGTGTGAGCCACACTTCCAACGTCAAGCGTCGGCTTTTCTCTCCCTTTATCCGCTATCTCCGGATCATGAAGGCAGCTTGTGAGGGTCCCAGTAATGTCATCCTGTAAGCCTTTTTCTGCGCAGTGTCATGATTTAGAATTTCTACCTCGTCAAATTCATGCACGTCGGCGACCTGGTGCAGACACGTACTGAAAACGTGTCGAAGCTCGCCACTGCGGGATGCTGCTTCTACTGCTATGGAATAGTATAGATGGGTTTCGATGTCTTCAACCCAGTCTTTGATCGACGCACAGTCCCTCGTTTTTGCGGCCTTAATTTGCAATGATATGTGCAGTAGGACAGATTTTATGGTGACATATACCGCGCGAAGGTTCTTATACAGGTATCTTCCGGGGTGCCATGGATCAAAGAACCATTCGACACTTTCGTCAAATTCATCATTGAAGGAGGCTATCTAGCTTCCATACATGCTGCTACTGTCGGTTGCGATGGAATGAATCGAGATATCATTCGATCGCAACCACCGTAGCATGCGGCGAAAGCCTTCCTTCTCCATTCTTCCGCTTATGTTTGGTGTAGAAGAAATGGATTTGGGTACTCGTACGTTGAGATCCCCTTCCTAATCTGTTTCCGAGCAAAGAACAACCTCCGTGTGTATGCAGAGGCTTGTTTGAAGGTCGACAGCCAATACCCTGCATATCTTGGCAGTGAATCCGCGTGAATCGAATGCGCCGTCGATGGCGATATTCCATGCAGTAAGTACCCCATCATTCTAAATTCGGTTTCGGCTGTTGATTTGCAGTTTTCAGATATTTTTATACCTCATACGCCGCGCGGATTTTTTGGATGACGTTTTTCTGATGTTTCTCATAGACTATGTCTATGGAGGTAGCCAAATCATCAAAAATACGATAAAATGCCGATTTTGAAGGCACAGCTACATTTGCCTCTTCTGCCCATTTCTGAATTTTCTGAAATACATCTGTTTTCAATTTTTAGTGTCAATGTCAAGTGGGTTATAAGCATTACATTCATTCGTGCTCCAGTTGTGAGGGCGGCGGCACAGGCAATCGCATTACCACTGTATAGCTTATCATTCGGTCTAAAGCCTAGCTTTTCCTGCTCCTCCCACCTCTTGACTGATGTTGCGTCCTTCGAGACATATTCTATGATGGGGGCGGACCCCGAGTTGAGAAGGCGCACTGTTCCTCCGGTGTTATCGCAGCCACAAAGGTTGAGATAAAATAGCTCCATAAGTTTTCTTTCTTGGACTGGATAGTATTTGTTCAGAAGGTGAGGTTCTGTTTCATCAAGCTCTGGAAATGCGTCGCTGTCGGAACACTCTCGCTGCCCTTTTTCGGAAGTGTAGTTGGAACCGCTCTGAGGTTAGAATCAATTAGTCATCGTTTAACTAATAGGGGAAACAGCTTCAGTTATCTGCTTCCATTCATTCTGACCGTAGTTTTGTAAGAAGATCCCGAGTCTGCGTGTTTCACCGATGGTGCTCAGGATTGATTGGTCCATGAACTCTTCGGAACGATTGAGATCTACTTCTTGTTCAGCTTCCCCTACCCCTTCCGCTGCCTAAAGATCGATAATCTATTACATTTTCGAGAGTACAGACCACCTCTAAATGTTCGATTTCCTCCTCCTTTGGGAGGTTCGCGTCAAGAATGTTCCAGCCTTTACGACCGAAATATTTTTGCATGTAAAAGTTAATGTATTGAACCACATCTGGGGCGGCTAAGGCAGTATTGCCCTTGACAATGTGACTTTCGGATATAGTTATCGTTTGTGAAAAAGATTCATATGACTTGTCTTGATCTGGCTAATGGCACTAACAGAGAAGGTTTCGCAACGTTGATGCTGCGTAGATGTTCAGGAACATCTCTTTTGGTTATGCAACATCATCCATTGTTTTCGATATATGCCCACCGCTTACGACTATTTCAGCCAGCAGATATTGCGCCTAGTATTGGTATTTTTAATTCCACTGGAGGTTTATAATAAACTTACGGCATTTATGAAATGCGTTATGCATATGTATTTCTGCTTTCGAGCAAAGGTTTCGAAATAAAGCGTTAGCAGTTCCTGTGCGCACGAAGTATAGATCTTCAGAGCAGATAAGAAGACCGCGTTGTGGGATTGTTTCTTCGAGGAGCGTGTTGTTAAGCTCTCTTCGACCTTATTTCCGCATATGATGCAGGAATATCTTTTGACCATTTCGCTTGCATCTAAAACTGCTGTGATTGCACGATTTTTTTTCCAAATTCTTAGACATAGCGATTAGAAGCAATAACAGCATCATTTCCTTTCGTCGGCAAATTTACGCCAAACAATATATTTGTTAATCAAAATGGGAAATTCTACATCAAATCATGTTGTTTGCTGACGTTCGTACTTTCAGAAAGTAACGTGAGAGGTTTTCGAGAGTTTATGTCTACAAACGCATAGGACATCCGTTATAAGGAAGCACGCAGCAACGTGGGAATGCGTAGGAATGATAACAACCACCTGTTTTGCTGTTGTTTGAAATCCTCATGGTTGTAAAGATCTGCTAAAACCTGATTCACTTCTCATTCAATGAATTGTTTTAGTATTCTCTGTACACATGAACAGGTGTAATTGGAATTAGCTGCGACAAAGCATTTCATGGATTCTAGGGTACCAAACCAGCTTTCAATTCTTGATTTTTATCTACAGCTGTGATAAACGCCAAAGATGAGAGATGTTACGAGATGCTTATTTGCAGTACAATGTTAAAGTGACTCGCTACAAAAGTTTTAAAGGGATAAAAGATAGCACTAATGTATGTCAGTCAGAAGTGTGAAAAACGAATGATCCATAGGTCTCGTTTACTGAAAATAAGTAAGAATACTGCATAGGGATTAAATTGTCTTTTGAGCGTGTACGCGTGCATGGTAGGTTTTCATGCATTCCGAAACTTACGGCCACTAGTCTATCTAGAAGGCACGTCTAGCTTGTCCCATTGAGCACTAAAATGAACTTCACAACTACTTTGGCCGCGCACGAGTCTCTAAACTTTTACCAACCTGAAAAAGATTCAAACAAATCGTGAAATGAAAATGAAACTCCCTTACAACACTTGTATCGAGAACGAGAACAGAAATAATTTTTGGCGACGACGCTTCAATTGACATGAACTTTGCTTGCGCGAAAACTGGCGCGCAGCAAAGTGATTGCTGACTCGTCGGAGCGCGCCGAATGGAGCTGCGCGCGCCTATTTGAGGGGCGTTTTCTCGGGGGAGGGGTGACATTACCCCGGCGGTATTTGGTCTGAGGATCGCGCAGGAGGCCACAAATCCTCCTAGAGCGAAATCTCACCAACCTTGAATCTGCCGGGACATTGCCTTTAGGGTCAATTTTTGAGACACAGACCCCATCTTCTAAAATCTGCGCGACAGCTTTATATAATTTTGTAAGCTATGTACGCCGATGGAAACCTGTTGAAGCCCGGAATAAGGCAGAGTGTTGTTGATGAGAGTGATAGACTAACGGTTAAATTCCAATGATACAGATAGCTGGTGCGAATTTCGCAACAATATGGTATGCCGAAAGAAATCAGAAGCAAAATTACTGCTCGGAAAACCGAGAAACTTACTCTTGGAAAGTCTTCGCCAACTTTGATCCTCTCTTCAGCAGTGGAACGCGCATGCTGGCACTTGGGATCATATTGTCCCACGAAGGAAGGATACACAATGAACGTGGTCATTAAGAGTACGATGTATACCGGATGCACTTCGAAACATTGATACTAAATCTGTGCACGAAAGTTATGAACTTTTTTTCGTAAAAAATTTTGAATAATGAAAATCACCAAATTTAATTTAGGTTACCGTTGAAAGTTACTGAAGAAATTCTCGTGAGGAATACTGATGTATTATAGTATGTTCCTATTATAGGAGGATTTTCACAAGATTAATTTTGGCGCATTTTTACATCCCATAATGAAATCTGGCTAGCTTTGGTAAGTTCAACCTTTCCAAGTTCCATTTGATGAAGCTCCGCTACTTTTGAGACTATGCAGATATCGTTGAAGACAAATTTCGCTGTGGAGTAAAATTTCTTTGTGTCTAAATGTTACACCAAAGAACCTTAATTCTGGCAACATTAGCGTAGAGATTCAGTGAAGAGGGCCATAGTTTCTCCTGCTGGCATCCAGCTGGACACCTTTTTTCAAATCCGCAAATAAGAGAGCGATTGAAGTGCGCATAAAGTAAGGGTATGAACACACTCCTTTTGTTGAAAAAGAAGACGTCTCCTGTATGCACCAAACCAATCTTTTCCTCTTCTTTAATGTTGCTTACAGTTTTGTAAGTAAAGGCAAAACGATTCTGCATTTGGAAGTAATTTACGAAACAAGGGAAATATGTTAAGTTTTGCTTTGAAAAGTAGTTATAAGATTTAATGCTTGCGCCATGAGAGCTAGTCTTGCCTGGACATTTTTGCTGTATTTTTGTTATGATTTACTTCACTTTTAGAAATATTTACCGAAATCAGCACAGCCATTGCTCTCAGCTTCAAGGTCGTGAACATCTGGAAGCGCATTGCACCTAAGCAAATGTTTTCAAATCTTTCAATCAATGTAAACATCAATTTCTTCCCGTAAACTCACTGTTGACTGCTTGCCTTCAACTTCAAATCAGCACAATGTCTATGACGCCCTTGAAGCACTGTCAAAAGCTGACCAAGTCATCCGTTCAATTATGTATAGATTCCTACGAATTTGGGATATATTTGAATGCAAAATATTGGATATAGAATCCTGACACTTAAAATAGTTTGGCCACAAAATTTATATCCGACAGTATTTTATCAAATGGTGGTTAACTGCGATTTGTCATATTCAGTTTCACTGTTTCGCATGCAATCTAATCCGTGCTCATTTAGTCACGTTTTTCCAACTCTGTGTTTTTTCTCAATCTACGTACATATCACATTTCATTCATTTAGATCAGTCACTGCGTTGCCTGATATAAAGTCAATGGTGTTTTTTTTCGCATCATTTTGTTCATCAAAAGGCGGATAAATATTTGCTCAAGCGAGAAAGGTTTTCCCTTCATTAAAAGCAAATAATAATTTGTCTGAAAGTTTTTTGTTTTTTTTTCAAACGACTATAATGCCTATGACAATACAGATCCAAGCGTTAGACATGCATTCGATGCATCCTTCCCTCTCTTTCTCTGATGTTGCAACTTTGCATTTTAATTTCCTAGAAGCTTTTTGCTAACTGCCATAGTTCTTAATGCGCTATTTCTATGCGTCCAAGGTTCGACTAATTTTTGATTTTGTTCTAAGGTTTCGGAAAAAAGTAGATATAATAGAATAGAGAAAAGACAGCTTGGATTGTACGGTACTGTTTTTAGATCTTTCTCTCTGCTGTTTGGAGCTTCGAAAGCTTATTTCTTTGAAAATTTCAATTTTTGATAAAAAATCGTAGATTATAGACGGTTATCCACGATTTCCGTTCCGAGGGGGGGGGGACAACGAAAATTTTCATATAAGGGTGCCCAAACTTTTTTTTGGGTGCTTTCGAAAATTTTTGCTAGCGCATGACTCCAATTTTGGAAAAAAAGGGGCGTGGCAGCAGCAGCTCCCCCGTAAAAGTTTATTTCAAAGCTAATTTGCATTTTAAAAATTGCAAAAATTATTTGAGTAATGTTCTGCTAGTTTTTGACCAATCGCGAGAACCGACAGCACTACAGTACTTTCGGGAACCCACTACATCATCACAAGCAATTTCAATCTTTCCAGCGTTTTTCTCTAATTTTGAATCATTTGATTAATCATCTATTTATTCAGTCAATTCCTCATTCGACCACTCATTCGGGTCAGGGCCCGGCTGAGTCCGTTTTTAAGCTTTTTAAAAACGAAGTCTCCCTTAACTTTCGCCAAAACTTACGAAGTCCCTTTTGACCCGAAACCATATCTGTAAAAAAACCTTCAAAGCGATAAAAAACCGTCGCAACTTTGCGTCTTTTCGGCCATGAAAACGAAACCCCCTTTGCTTTTTTGTCCCAAAAATGGAGTCTAACTCGTTTCCATACGATCTGTGCAGGACCCTGATTCGGGTCGTAGTGTCGTAGTAATAAAGAATTTTAGTGGAGAGCTTTGCACTGAATAACTTTGCGCTACTCGTATGCGTGTGTTTCTGATCATCTTCAGCCTGGCCGCAGCTCGTCACTCCATCCCATCTGGTCGCCTAATTGGTTATTGTGTCGGTCGCAGCTGTCGTTTCCATTCCTGCACTATCGCATCCTGCCAGCTGCTGCCGTCGCGGATTTTGCCCATTCTCACACTTCTATACGCTTCATTACAGATGCGGCTATATTTTTTTACTGCTGCGATTGCAGTGGAACACTCAAATCTACTAAAATTTGTTTGAAGTAGCTTGCCATAGCTGAATTTGCAGATTTTTTTCCTATCTAGCCATCGGCTGAAGGCATGAAAAACACACAACGATATTCAGCTGTTGTGTACAGCTGTTCCATATTCCCATACGCACACGATCCAACTATAGTCAAAGTGTTTTTCTTCATATTATGCCAGGCCTTGTCTTTCACCTGGTTTTCACAAGCCGCTCGTATCACATTCGTCTTTTGCAGTATTAAAAAATTCATTTTACTTTGTTTAGATATATGCTGAAGCACAAGAATGTGGTCATCTTGCCAAGTAACAGCTTAGATCCTGAACCATTAGATCTGAGGGTTCCTAAAAATGAAAGGTTGGTTTGAATTTGCAGACAATTCAGATTTTGCTGCAAACTTTTTATTCGAAAATTAGTATATGCTCAGTTTCAAATAAGATGATAACGAATTGATACAAAAACGTTCTGTGAATTATGAAGGTTGCGTCAATGCAGCTAGCCAAATTAGAAAATTATCAGATTAATCCTAATCTAGTTAAGTTGCATAAGACATTCTAATTGCTTTGCATATTATTTATGACCTTGCAGGATACCTGAAGAACCTATGACCACCGTTCCAAGCCAAGAAGAACTTGGCGGTCAACTACTTATCAAGCTGTTACAACAACAAATTCTTCTTTCTATGCTCCCGCAACCTGAAGTAGTGGAAGAAAAGAAAAAATTGTCCTGTAGGTCGAAAGAGAAGAAGATGAAGCAGTGTTTGGAGAAAGTGGATATGGTTGTCAACGTGCGGAGGTACGGTAATATTCCTAACCTTTGGTCAAAAAAGAACTATTGAACTGTTGGCAATTCTTGTAATTTTTTAGATCTGAGGCGAATGCTCGGGAGCGAAATCGTGTACAACATTTAGCCGATATGTTTGATAGGTTGAGGTCCGTATTGCCGATTGAAGACGATGTGAAAATCTCGAAATTGGCCACTTTGAAGGTAAACAAATAATTTTTCTATAGACCAAAGTAAGGCCTTCTAGACATAGTGTAAGCTGTCACTTGAAATTCACGTTTTCGGAGATTCTGGTTTAAAGAAAGCAGCTAGAATGAGTAAGAGCGAGCAATTCTCTCAGAATTTTCCACGTTTTCGAAAATCGTTTATTCTACACCTCTTCTATCAAACCTTCTGACTTTTGAGGCTCTAAACAAGACGAACTCTCTCAAAAATCAAAATATCAGATCTGTGTACAATTTAGATCGCCTCCGCCTACATCCGCTATCTCGGTTGTGTTTTGGACACAAATGATGTACATCGATTAGTCGAATGTGAGCAGATTCTTATGCTCAGCATATGTGAAGCAAAAATATTCCCAAAGAAAGTGGTCACCTTTTGACTGATCATGTATAGTATTTATAAATGATCTCATTATTTTCTACCTCTAGCTGATTCCTCTATTTTGTCTGTCTATGGTCACAACTGTTTCTGTCGCCTACCGTTCTTTCATACGTGCCATCTTGCCGGTGTATAGATAGATAATAAACTCAAATTTTAGTTTGCAATGTTATAATTAAGTGATGTAATTTAAATATCTTCGTTCATAGGAAAGGTCGTGTGACAAGAGTAGGGTGTCTGCTGAACATTCAGGAGTTTTGTAATCTTGAATTGTGGTAAAATGGTGTAGTGACGAAGTGAATTGGGAATTGGGAATTTCTGTAGTGAATTGGGGTAAAGTTATAAGGTAGCTGGGAGTAGTTTGCTGAACAGTCTAAAAAATTTTTGGATTTTCATCCATAGAAAAATTGGTTACTTCTATATATCCAATGAAAGACTGTCATCGAAAACACGGATTTTTTTTGCACTTAATATGTTCCGAATTGCCTAGTTTTTTAGTGATTTTGACGCTTATATGCTAACAATAAATAGTTTTCAAGAAGAAACTATTAGCTTTGCTCAGTCAGACTATTATTTTCTCAAGGTAGATGGTATCTAACAATGTGAGGAAGATGCAAGTCTGAAAAATGCCCTTCAGGAAACGCCTTTAGTTTTTCGATTTATTCTCATTGAAAAAAAATTTATGCGACCCTCTATTTGCAACAAGTTTTAAATTCCATAAACATTGACTGGTTACACTGTTTTGCTTGGCTTTTCGTCATAGTTGACCCTGAGTGTCTCAACGCAAAAACACCGCTCTTGATGTTAGAAACGTAATTAAAGTTTTATTTACTGAAGTGCACAGAGCTAGTATACACGTTACTATGAATTTTTTTGTTTATCGTCGTTGCCGCAAAAACTTTTGGCGGCAATTTCACAATGTCTCGTCGCAAAATTAAATAAATTATACGCTTTAGACTTGCGATAATCTCTTTGTGTCGAAAGGCAACAATCAGAATATTGAAGTCCACCTAAAATTGAGATTGAAATACAAGCTATTTAGCGGGATCAAGAGCCTTTCGTTAAAAAAAGGCAAACAAATTTGTAATCTGATGCTCAAATCATTGGAGAGATGTATGAAATGCCTCTGTCTAGAGCAAATTTTCCGATGAAATTTTATTATGCGTGTTGTATGTTTGTCCAGTTCGAGAACAGTAACTGTAACTTACATTTGCCATTGAAAGAGAATATAGAAGCGTTATATAATTCGTCTGCAAACCAAATATATCGAAATACTTTATCAAGTCTGGTATAAGTAAGAAAATAACGGCAAGCGCTGTGGAAAGACCTAGATAGCAAAGATAAAACTGAGCATTGCAGAAGAAAAGGATATTTGGGGTTTTGCTGACCTACGGTAGAAGTGGTTCTTCTTATATTATGAAATTGATGTGATTGACCAACAATTCGGACTTGTGACTTTTCCATTTGTGTGAATTGCTGCAAAGATATGTAGACCGCCAACGTTTTGGTATTTGATTATAAAACCAACCTTATTAACTCTTGTGACAATTACAACATAGATCAAAGCTGATGAAGCTATACAGCCTATTCGAAGAAGCAACATATACCCGTAGAACTGGGGGGTAAGCGCATTTAAAGTTAAACAAAACGATGATACCAATGTCTCGTCACGATATGTGGTACAGAAATTGGTTATTGTGCCTGCTGCCACCAGTAAATAAGGTCCTGAAAAGATTTGGTTAATATAAAATTGGTAATCTTACATTTTTGCTAACATACCAGTTGCCAGGGTAATATTGTATTTACGACCAAATTTCAAATATCGAAAAGGTATAGATACAGCTAATAGTCGATCTATAGCAACTGCAAGCGATAACGTCCCCTTAAAATATAAAGATGGATAGACATTTTTTCCGTTACTCTGCTTATTTATATTAGATGAGCCGACAATTCGTAGAGGTTAATCATTTATTAGGCTGTTAACTAAGTTTTGCAACTTTTTCAAAACTTTTCCCTTTTTGCATGTAGTAAACTCAAACTTTGTCAATGTTTACTTTGATGTGAGCTGCCAAAATATAGAATTTAGTTTTTGGCTTCATACGGTAAGACTACGGTGATCATTGTGTACGAAATTGACATCATGGATTTTCATGAATAACTGTGTTTTGAGGTTATTTTACGTGCTGATCACAGTTACATGCCCACTTTATTTACTACTGTCCCTTGTGGGGCTACGGTAGAATTCTCGTAAAAGTCAAGGAACTGTTGTAAGAAGATGATATTAGAACTTGAGGCTATCATTTTCGCAACCAGCATGCCATAAACTATATATGTAAGGCTTGAGCTCAACAAAATCAATAAACCGATATTCTTGATGGGCTAAGATCAGTTCCTTGCCCTTGCCGTATTCTGGTGCATGTACACTTATATGTTCAAAAACAGCATCATTCTGCAAGAATTTGGGTTAAAGCATGTGCTTATCTCTATCTACGGCATACCTATCGTAACATTACATTGCAGTATCTCGAGCCCGGACCGCTCCGGCTGGAGCTTCGCCTAGGTGTCCCCACTCATGTGCCAAAACCCCGTGAAACCCTATCGTAAAGTGGCACTGCAAGAGCTTGAGGGATCTTACGACCCACCGGTGGGTCGTATTGTCCGAAATGGAAGAACACGTGCAACCCACCGGTGGGTCGTATTTTCGTGAATGTGTTAAATAACCTGTCGGGCTCCGCGATGCGGGCAGCTCCTCGAAATAGCGAGCCAGGAGCGCTGGTTGCCGCACTGCCGGTCGCGCTGCTACTTTCGCGGCTGGACCTCTTCCGCTGGCGCGCTGCCAAGTAGAGGGCTATATATAGCCGCGACCAGAGCGGTTGTATTCTTCCCTCTGTTCACTGTCTTCTTACCAGTGTTGTTTATTGATTGCATTCTCACTGCTCTTGGCAGCGCTTGACAGCTCCCGCATGAATGTTTTGTGTAAGCAGTTGAGCAAGTAGTTGGATTTGGATTGAAGGATTCGCTTGTGGTTTTGAGAAGTTGGGCAAGTACCATCCGCGGGAGCGAGGAGGGATGCACCGTTCCGTACGGACCAGGCGTCGTGCGGCGGACATGAGAGGAGTACGTTGAGTAGGGGTACGTTTGGTGGAGAAAGTGTCGTCTGCGCCATCGGTGGCGCGGCGTCCGCGGCTCGCCTCGCAATATAAGGGTTTAGTACTTTTTTGTAGTTTTAGTATTTCTCTTGCGTTCTAGTCGCACTTGTATTAAGTATGTGGGTAGGGGTAGTTAGCAACACGGTCGCGCAAGCAAGAGCTCAGCTTGTTCGAGCGTTTGTAACATTCTCGGGAAGACGGGATCGGTTTGTATGTATGTGGCGAACGCTGAAAGGTGCTGAGCCTCTTGGAGCCGCAACATAACCCACAAGACTTCGAAATCAGACCTATCATCTGCAGTATAGGAGCGATCTTATCCAACGGATAAAATCGCTCCTATACCGCTGATGATAGGTCGATGTATGCTTTAGTCTGCAAACTGCTTCATTCTTGCTTGTAATTCAGTAAACTTCTGAATTTCAACAGTTGTGGAAATTGCTAAAACATTTTTTATTTTTCAAAAATAAAACAGTTGGGCGAACTTGTGCACATTGCACTCTACATAATGCCTAAGTTTGAGCGCCCTTATATAAAGAGAGAAAAGCTATGGAGGAAGCTGCAAAACTTAGTTAACAACCTGATATTTCTGCCATTTTTTACCGAGCGAGGTAGTGTCATTGCACCTATGTTAGGAACTCTTACATCTTGACATTAAAGTTGTTATGCAATAACTCTCGTGGATTATATGATGTGTTCCTTGGAATTGAGACCAGAGCGGCAAAAATGGAATTGACGGGCAAAAATCTTCATATTTCATCGGTAAAGTAGAAGAATTGCGATTTGTGCGCAGTAACAGAATTTTTAAAACCCTTCACTCACCTGCAGTTGATATGCCATTGTAATCAAATTCACATATATTCTCCTGGCACATACCCATCGTGGTATAAGTGGAATTCCTTGAAAATGATGATTAGTTGGATGTGAATTTGATATTTAGAGAACGGAAGTCTAAGTCACCTGTATTAATGCTATTTGCTACTATGTCCAACCGACTTGTGGCGGACATCACAAATGCCAATCCAAAAACTGTATCGGTTAAAGATATTCCGATGATTACTGGAATGAATGATTCATATATGACAATTTCTTTTCTTTTGTCAATTGAAATATCCATAACCTCTCGTGAGAAATGCATACTTAGTGAACTATTTTTTATGTGAAATTGAGCGTACATGTGGGCCCAAACTTGAATGATTTTAGCCACGTGGCTGATTACAAAGTTTTTTTTTCTTAGTTTATCCTATCACAGTATTTTGTGACTTTTTGAACTTCTGATTTTATCATAGCTGAATTACACTCTCAAAAAGGTATGAATGGCATTTCGAAAATAATGGGATACAAGCAAATTGTCTGTAATTGCCGTACCGCTCACAGAAAGTAATCAAGATTGCTGCCAACTACAGGAAAAATTGCATCAAATTTTTATCAGAATCATAGAATAGATTGTTGACTTAAAATCATTTTCGGTGATTGTTAATGAGAGGTGAGAGAGAGAGTGGGCGGTTTTCTGGATAGAGAGGGGGGGGGGATTTTTTTCGAAAAAAATGTAGATTTTGATTATCTTTCACAGCAAGCGCCTCATTCTGCGAACAAAGATTTGTGAAAGACATTGGTAGCATTCAATGCAGTTTTTCATGATTTTTCAAAAATCTTTACTTCTACTTTCTAACTAACGAGATGTCAAAAAATTACAAGAAACTGCGACCCATGGTTTTTTTTTCCATTGTCAGAATTCGCTGCTCCTCTAATCTTTTAAACTGCCTCCAAATAATAAAGATGTGCAAGTAGGAAATGAATGAAGCGAACCCTACAGGACACGATACAATTTTTTCTCCTGTCTAGATTCGCTATAATTTTTTTGGTAAAATTTTCACTAGAACACCAAGATTTAGCAGGCTTACGTATCTCACTCAAAGTCGAATTTCAAATACCAGTAAATCTTCGCAGTTTGAATTCCTGAAATGGGTTATGGCTCAACGCTAATTTTACAGAACAAATAAGGTCCACGCATTTTGGATATTAATCTCAATTTTCCGGGTACAACCAAAAAAGCGCTTAAAACAGATTTACGGTAATTTCATCTTCGGAAACTTTACAAATTGAAAATAGTAACAACCTTACAAAGAGAGAAAAACATTGAACGAATGTTCATGGGGTTTGAGTTGATCAAGTTTGAATTTGATAGGGTCAAAAGAATTCCAAAATTTCGAATAGCAAGCTATGAAAAAGAAAAAATTTGTACTCAGGCTTACGATATACAATTTCGAAGAAGTCCAAGTAACCCTATGGGTTGATTGGGCTTCTTCGAAATCGTTATAAAAGTTTAAAAAATAGCTTACATCATAGAACAAACTTTGGGTCATAGTTCTGATAATTTTCCAAGATCTTGTTGGTTAACGCAACAAATATTAGGTTGTCCAGAAAGTTTTGTCCGTTTTTTCAACCTATCATAAAAACGCGTGGAAGATAGGAAAACGCTCTAAGCACTATCCGACGCATCTTTTCCTCCTCTTTTTAACTGTTATGATCTAGTGCAGATTACTCTTTTGCTCACTGAGATAAACGCCGAAATTTCGAACCCATAGTTGTTACTATGTCCAAGTTTGACAATTTTTCACAATCTTTGTTTTCGACTTTCGGAAAAGCTTTGGCAACAATCAGGTAGACCAAACAAAGGGCAATATTATGCAATTTTGCGGCATCTATAGCCAGCCTTGAGAATTTTTTAGAATTATTTTTCTGATGCTATCAAATTCCACTTCTGGTGATGCCAAAAGCCAGAGATAATGAAACGGCGCACAACTAAGGTGTTATTCGATGTAGCTTTTCCTCCTCTTTCCATGAGTGTATTTTCTCTTCAACTTGCGGGGTCTTCGGCGATAAAATTTTCATAATTCTTGAATTTGACCCCACCCCAACGTGTACACGTAAAATGCAAACTCTTATATTTCAAGGCGGTAAACGCTCATTTGCTTCGTGAAAATAGTGAATAATCGAAATTAATCTTTGAAAGCTTCAAAATGCGATGATTTGTTAGTGTTCGAGGCGTTTCTGTATTTTAGAACTTCGCAAAAGTGAAGACTTTTGAAAAAATTATCTTTAAAAATATTGAAAAGCCAGCTAGATAGGCCAAATAATTGCATTGCATTGCCCTTTGCTTACTCTGTCTGAGGGCTATCAAAGCTTTTCTAAAAGTTGAAAATGAAGGTTGTGAAAAATTGTCAAACTTGGACATAGTAAAAACCATGTTCGAAATTTCGGCGTTTTTCTCAGTGAGCAAAAAAGTAATCGGCATGTGGGCTTGACAGTTAGAAAGTGGAGAAAAAGATGCGTCGGGTAGTGTTTAGCGCGTTTCCCTATCTTTGTTCCACGTATTTTTATGATGGGTTAAAAACGGACAAAACTTTCGGGACAACCTAATATAATAAATCAAATAGTATAAAAGGAGTAATGCTATAAATATATTAGGTCGTTCCGGAAGTAATGTCGCTTTTTTTTCGAATGAACGCCACTATTCATGGAATGAACATTTTCAAGAGGTCTAGGAGCATTCGTTGCAGCATTTCATCCTCTTTCTAATGGTTCTAATTCTACTGCACAATGTTTAATGAGCTTACAGAAAATTACCAAAATCTGCGGCTCATGCTTTTTGCCAGGTCAAGTTCGGCTATTTTTCTAAATTTTTGTACCTAATCTCCGAAAAATTACAAGTGGCAGGTCGATAGATCAAACACTATAGAACATAGAAAAATTTTTTCTTTTCCTTAGCTTGCTTCTCAGAGTTTCTACAATCAATTTCTCAATGCCATCAAATTTCATATGTAGTCAAGTCAAACCTAACAGAACAACAACCGGCAAGCGACTCGTGTGTCATTCAATGCAGCTTTTTCTCCTCTTTCTAGCGGTTGTTTTTTGTTTTCGATTCGTCAAATTTTTTTTTTGATAAAATCATCATAATTCAACCTTTCCAAGGCACCCCAAGGTGTACCCGAAATTTTCGAAATTTGCTAAACCGAAGCGGTGAATGCTCGCTTGGTTTGTAAAATTGTTGCCAAATCATAATCCATCTTTGTAAGTTTCAAAATCCGAAGACTTGTTGGCGTTTGATGCACTTGTGTTTGAGATGAGCCTGCTAAAATTTGGTGATTCCATCAAAAAATCTGTACAAAAATTATGACGAGCTTTGAAAAGTTGTGCTGCTTCCTGTGGGGATTGCTTCATCCATCCATTACTTGGACTCTTTCTAAGATTTCTTATAAAATTTTTAAAAAATTGTGAAACTTGGCCATCTCAAAAAGCATAGGTCGCAGATTTTGACTCTTTTCTGGAAGCTCATTGACTGTATTGCAACAACTTAACCATTAGAAAGAGAATGAAATGCTGCATCACATGCTACCAGAATTTCTTACACATCTTTGTTCCAGGAGATGTGGCTACGTTTGAAAAAAAGCAACATTACTCTCGGAACGACCTAATATAAAACTTTATTGCGCGGAATGTGGCGCTTATCCACGGATTGCAAACTTACTCCCGAAATGACCTGATATTTGCATAATTCTAGCGTACCTTGAAACTCCCTTCGCCTTCGAATAGTGGGAGTAGCAAGCATAGCTATAGCTAGCGGAAGATTAAGCATTATTGCCATTGATCCTAAAATGAACTTGCATACAATATATGACGCCCGTGAATCAGCATCGCTTTTTACTCAATAAGTTTACGTGCGGTACAGACTATGTTCTGACTTGCTTATCGTTGAGAATCATGTGATTAGCATTTTTTATGAGGTTTGACTTATAAAAATTAACTGATAGTGCTTCCTAATTATGGCATGCTCCTATTAAACACTAACAAGGCTGAGTTTTAATGTTTTTTTTGCAGAAGTTTTGCAGAAGTTAACTGCAAATTCAAACTAGCATACCTTCTGCCATGTATAGGTACAGAGACCACACATTTTCACCGGTCATATTTGCAAGTGACGAAGTTACATGAACTATTGATACAGAACAGAGCGAGAACTGGAAAATAGCGCAATAAACACTTATTTGGATCACTAACACAAGACAGTATTGGTAAGTTTTTTATTCAGAATGATAGGCAAAATGCAAGAAGCAGAAGCCAAAAAAATGGTGTATGAATATAGCAATTAAGCATAGAACTTCTATAGGTTGAGCAGAAAAATACTCTGCGACAAAACTGCTGGGAATTTGCGGGTTCTTCTCTGTTGATGTATAAAAAAGGCATTATCGTGAGCTATGAAGTGAGAGATACATTGTTTTACCATTTAGACAAAAAAAGTTCCGTTTTGAAAAGGTATTATCTCCAAACAAATTCGCTTTTACCAAACCTACTTTTATCAAAAATTACTTCCTTATAGTCATGAAATCCATTTTTAGTAAAACTAGCGGGAACAATACACGGATTGGCTGCCTAGAATAACCTGTTTGTGCTGCGAAATGCAAACTTATACACTCAAGGCAAAGATTTGGAATTCGTTTTGGTGTTACTCAAAGCGTCAAAACCTCTATTTACGGACTTGTGTATATAGCAATACATAAGGGTCCAAAGGTTGTAATTTGCGATCAGCTGATCACACAATTGACTAGCAAATGAAAAGGTAAAGTAGAGCCAAATTGAGGATAAGCTTTACAGCCAAGCGATAATGCATTTTTGAGTTGGCCATCGATTCGGACCTTCAAAGACTGCATAGGTAAGAAAGAAAGCTGTCAGGGAGAGGATGAAAATTGGATTCAAAATGTACTCAAGTGTTTGTCCGTAGGTGTTACCAGTTATACTAATCGATCTATAGGGAACAGAACTGAAAGATATATGAGCCTGAAAGTTTTACAGTCTGCACGGCTGTTGGCGCTTTGTCGAGTATCATTTGAAGTAGGCGTTTAAAAAATCTGATTGTTGCCTGCACATTATGTTTGGGGTAAGAGCCATTTTTTGGCGATCTTAGCGCCCCCGATTTTTATTCATCAGTTTGTTAATAACCACCAAACTTGCAAACGGCAAAGAAAATCGGCAAATGTCTCCTCTCCCACTAGGAAAAGCGGAACAGAGTCAGCATATGGGTGGGTAAATCACATTTGAGGAAGCTATAATCAGTGATAA